CAAGGCCAGGCTGGATGGGGCTTGGAGCAACCTGGTCTGGTGGGAGGTGTCCCTGCCCAGGGCAGGGGGTGGAACTTGATAATCTTTAAGGTCCTTTCCAACCCAAATCATTCTATGACAAACCCAAAGAAGTGCCCTACCAGTGCTAAACCGGAACAGCTCCACAGCTAAGACAGTCACCAAGGGGAAGAGAAGTTTGGAGGAGAGACATCTTTACCTGAAGCACTTGGGGATAATCAAAGACTTGATTCTTGTGACAACGTTTGCGAACAGCGGGGACCCCCTCTGACAGATTTGTACATTTGTCCAGGATCAACACGGATTCCCCGTTCTCAGCTTGAAGAGCTTCCAGCTCGGAGCGGTATTCCGGGTGCAGAGCCATTTGAGATGACAGGATGAAGTACCTGCGAGGCCTGAAAAACCACAGCAAGGTTATCTGACAGCACTGGGAGTTCCCTTCCAACATGCTACAGAAAACATGGGAGGGGAAAGAAATAAAAAGGCAGAGCTAGATTAACCAAATGTGAACACACTACCATATTTTAGCCTGGAAAGGCTAATGATGCAACACAAATCTTGGATAGTAAGGGGCTCTGCAGCATTTACAACTTGGAATAAATTTTTACCCGAAAAGAGTGCTTATTACATTAGAATAGGCATTTGCTTTATAACCTCTATCATAAACTGAAATAAATATTGTTTAGCTACACACTAAAACAGCTACCTACTGATGCCAGGATTGTTTGTTCTTCTATTTGGTGTTTGTGTGCCACAACAAAGTAGATACTACACTAAACGCTGCTGCTGGTTTCTCCCCCCCATGTTCCTCATCAATTTTAATTGAAAAAAAGAAATAGGCTGAACTGACAACTCAGCTGCCCCATGCTTATTTAGTCTTGATACGGTGACAGCAACAACAGGACGAGCTCACCTCGTTAGCTGTGATTCAGTTCTGTCCCTTTTGGGCAACATAAAGTAACATTTCCAGGACAAAGTTGAAGGTCTATTATCCCGTTCACTCTCAAACTCCTACCACTTTCCAAAAATCATGAATATTTAAAATGTGCCTTAATACTAGATAGAAGGAAGATATTTTTTACCATGAGGGTGGTGAAGCACAGGCACAGGTTGCCCAAAGAGGTGGTAGATGCCCCATCCCTGGAAACATTCAAGGTCAGGTTGGATGGGGCTCTGAGCGACCTGATCTAGTTGAAGATGTCCCTGCTCATGGCAGGGGGGTTGGACTGGGTGACCTTTAAAGGTGTCTTCCATTCTGTGGTCCTAACCATTCCATGATTCTATGAACACTGAAGTGTTTCAAGACACTAATTAACATGGCAAGTTACCCCTTCTACTCAATTTCATGGGGGTCACTTTAGTTGCTCCAATTAACAGATGAGACTTGCATAGAATTTTTTCTAAACATTCTTTTTTTCCCCCCCCAAGACCCCTGCTGCTACCAACTTGCTACCAGCAGCTCTATAGAATATATAGTTTTAACAGAGGTGGATTAAAAATATTTCAAAGTATCCAACTAAAAAGGAAAGTAAATCAAAACCTCTCCATCCAGCTCTATAAGAGGGATAAAAAAGAATTTTCCTTAAAAAAAAGAAATACTGCTGGAGGAGTGATAATAAATGCCTATAACCAGCTAAAAATTATGCAGATTTGTTTGTGTTTATGTTTAAAACCAAATTTTGCCTTGAAATTGTCATCATCCTCCAACACTTAAAGTCTTGCTACAAAACAAAAAGTGCATCCCAGCTCGCAGGAAATAACACCCCCGTGTAGTGGAACGTAATCATTTATCCCAAGCAAGCCTGAACCCTGAGCACTGTTCCCTTAACACTCCTGCATGAAGCAATCAAACCTGCAAAAGGGTTTTAATTAGTAATGCTAAGTGGCCACTAGATGGTAGTGCAGAGACTACAGCCTGTTCCTCACCAAAAAAACCCAACTTTTGAGACCAGGGAAGCTCCAGCCCAATCACTGAATGCAGACATTCAGTCTCCCACATGAGTTTCTCTTATCTTCCCTAAAACCAGACACAGCAGTTGACTCCGTGGAGCCCAAAATCACTGCATCTCTCTTTACACCTGGTTCTGTACGTGCCCAAGCCTCTCATCAGGTTCACACTTTCCAGGCAGGGACACAAAAACTCCCTTTCACTCTCTGTGGGGCTGGAGGAATACTTGAGGTCCATGAAGAACCCATTGGGATGCAACCAGATGCCGTACGCTGGTCTGGTCCAAGAGCACCACAAGCAGGAACACACCATGGGTGCAAGCAAAGTGAATCACTGCTGAACCAGTTTGTGCTGGAATGGACTGGGGTATCTCACTTGGAGCAGCAACAGCAAGAGCGTGGCCCTTACCTAGAGGAGGAGACACTTGAAGCCAAAGCACAATGACCTTTACTGTCGGAAAAGTGTGCCCAGGTGGCCAAGAAAGCCAATGGCATTCTGGCTTGTATTAGAAATAGTGTGACCAGCAGAAGTAGGGAGGTGATTGTGCCCCTGTACTCAGCACTGGTGAGGCCACACCTCGAGTGTTGTGTCCAGTTCTGGGCACCTCAATACAAGAGAGATCTGGAGGTGCTGGAGCGAGTGCAGAGGAGGGCAACGAAACTAGTGAAGGGCCTGGAGAACAAATAATATGAAGAACGGCTGAAGGAGCTGGGGCTGTTTAGTGTGAGGAAGAGGAGGCTGAGGGGAGACCTCATCACTCTCTACAACTACTTGAAAGGACACTGTAGAGAGGTTAGTGCTGGTCTCTTCTCACAGGTAATTAACGACAGAACGAGAGGGAACGGCTTCAAGCTCCAACAGGGGAGGTTTAGATTGAACATTAGGAAGGAATTTTTCACCGAAAGAGTGGTCGGGCATTGGACCAGCCTGCCCAGGGAGGGGGTGGAGTCACCATCCCTGGCTGTGTTTAAGGGCCGTTTAGATGCAGTGCTGAGGGACATGGTGTAGGGGAGGACTTTGTAGAGTAGGGGAGATGGTTGGACTCGATGATCACAAGGGTCTCTCCCAACCTCAATGATTCTATGATTCTATGATGGCAGCACCCTTTCAACCACAGTTTCCAACTTATTCTCCTCAAGATACTGCCAGAAAAAAAGAGTGTAAAGTTTCCCCATTTCTAAACTTGATCCTCACGACCAGTGGACACACCATTTCCCACCATGGCCTCAGTCTGACCATCTTTTAAACCGTAACAGAGGAAAGACCTTGCTACAGTGAAACGCTTTCAGCTGTGTCATTAAAAGGCTTATGAAATATTAAAGGAGCAGTCTTCCGTAATCAATTAAAACATGTCTTCCAGACTTCTACCTACTTTTGTTTTGAAGACATGAATAGATTAGGGAAACCACCGCTTTCCAGGGTAGGTCATTTTAATGGCTAATCACATTCCCTGTTAAAATTAGTGCTTTATTTCCCACTTGCTTTGCTTCTAACTAGAAGTTTATGAGGGTTGTTTGTTATTCCATTATTTAAAGAAGAAAATAAACCACCAAGCATCATAGAATCATAGAATTATCGAGGTTGGAAGGGACCTTTCAGATCATCTAGTCCAACCATCAACCAAACTCTGATAAAAACCATCACTAACCCATGTCTCTAAGCACCATGTCAACCCGGCTTTTGAACACCTCCAGGGATGGTGCCTCAACCCCTTCCCTGGGCAGCCCATTCCAAGGCTTCATAACCCTTTCCATGGAAACATTTTCCTAATTTCCAATCTGAACCTCCCCTGGTGCAACTCGAGGCCATTTCCTCTTGTCCCATCGCCTGTGACTTGGGAGAAGAGACCGACCCCCCCTGGCTACACCCTCCTTTCAGGGAGTTGGAGAGAGCGAGGAGGTCTCCCCTCAGCCTCCTTTTCTCCAGGCTGAACACCCCCAGCTCCCTCAGCTGTTCCTCATAAGGCTTGTGCTCCAGACCCCTCACCAGCTCCATCGCCCTTCTCTGGACACACTCCAGCACCTCAATGTCTTTTTGGTAGAAAGGGGCCCAAAACTGGACACAGCCCCTGAGGTGGGGCCTCAAGCTCTGGATGTAACTATTCCCATAATCAAATCAGGTCTCACTCTTTTTCACGAGCCATAACCACACTGCCATCCTTCAGAACTTCTTCTGTTCAGACCTGTACTTTCAGGCTTCTCCTGTTCCAAACTCTCAATGTAACTTTAAAGGGACTTCAGAACCACCACAGCATTTAAACTCATACAGGAAGAATGTATCTATAAGACACACAGAGGTAAAGATCACGTTCTCCCTCCTATTCTGTTACTCATTCAAAGTTTGCACTGGCTGATACTACCTGAGGAGCTCGAGTTGATCCCCATGATCCCTTCTGTGTCTTTAAAGTACACTTTTTTTATCATTGCAATAGTGATCTTCTGCCATTACTTTCCTTTTAAGCCTCCAAAAATAAATCACCTGAAGCAACCATTATTGCTTTGAACTACCACCCTGTTTTACTTATATTTTAAAGAAACCAAACGTATTAACAACTGCTTTTATTTATAACCAAAATATCTTGCCAGCTCACTGGAAATATCGAATCTAATTCTCCTAGAAACACTCTCATGCTCTCATCTTTTAGAGTTTGGTTTCTGCAGTGGGAAAAACAGAATCACACCAAAAAAATTCTCAGTTCCCAGCTAACCACACGTTGGCAGATGAGCCAAGGCTGTTAGCACTGGAACCATCATAGGTTCCAGTTATTAAAAGCTACTCTTACAAAATTGCCCGAGCCCACCAACAAGTCAGCAGCTATATTTATATTTTATCAGCCTCCATATTCAATGTGATATTGAATCTACTTTGCCCAGTTTGTGGGAATTGCTTTACCCGGGTCCTCTTTCTGGCAGATCCACTTCGGCCGACAAGGGGCTATAGACAGGAATGCTGACATCGTAGCCTTGCCGGTAAGTCCACGTGGAGAAGCCTCCACCAGCCAGCAGAGCTCTGAAAAACACCCAAAAAAAGCAGCTTTTAAACAGAGTATGTACACCACTGAAACCTCAGAGCACCATTTGCTAATTGGCATTACCAGAACATGAAGAAGATGCATGATAGTTATGATAATTTGGCATTTTTGCAAGCTTACATGCCCTAAGTCAATTTTAATTTAAAGGAATACATTCTTAATTATTTATACCAGTTAACATACTCCTTGATGCCTGCACTAAAACAGGGTATAACACAGGTCACAGAGTGTTAGAGACAAGCTATACTTCAGATACAAGACCACGTACAATAACACAGTATTTTGGCAACGGAGAGGGACTCTGGACTTCTCAGGCTACAAAATAAAATGGAGTTATTTAGAACTGTATTTTCGAAGCGACCACACAAACTAGTGAAATTGATTTCATTCTTATATTACACAAAAAAATGATACAAACAGAAAACTTGCCAACAAGAAAGCCGTATGTTCTGAAACTAAAATCCAGGAGCGGAGGCTGTTTGGGACGGCTCTGTGTGCTAGAGGGCATGGGAATCGTCAAAGATCGACTAATTATGATGTAATTCAACCTCCCAGGATGACCCTAATTCTCTGTGGCTTCTCCTAGATGAGACAAGGATGTAATTCAACCTCCCAGGATGACCCTAAGTGGCTTCTCCTAGATGAGACACCCTTTTGCCACACAGAAGAGCTTCAAAAAACAGAAGAGAGCAATGTGTACAGAAGAAAGCAATGCATTATTGATGATTAGGGGGCCTGGAGCACCTCTCTGATGAGGAAAGGCTGAGGGACTTGGGTCTTCTCAGTCTGGAGAAGAGAAGGCTGAGGGGGGATCTGATCAACACCTATAAATACTTCAAGGGTGGGTGTCAGGAGGATGGGGCCAGGCTTTTTTCAGTGGTGCCCAGTGACAGGACAAGAGGGAACGGGCACAAACTTGAACGTAGGAAGTTCCACCTAAACATGAGGAGGAACTTCTTTGCTGTGAGGGTGGCAGAGCCCTGGCAGAGGCTGCCCAGGGAGGTGGGGGAGTCTCCTTCTCTGGAGACATTCAAACCCCACCTGGACACGTTCCTGTGCGACCTGCTCTGGGTGGCCCTGCTCTGGCAGGGGGTTGGACTGGGTGATCTCCAGAGGTCCCTTCCAAACCCCTAGCATTCTGTGATTCTGTGATTATTCAGAATATCAGAAAAAAAATGAGGCTTGTTACTATCTTCTATCCCAAATCAAGCTTCTTTGAAATATGCTAGTAGAGGACATGGGCTGTTCAGTTGCCATTTCACCTCTGGCGACCAGGTGACACCATGAGCACACCAAATCCAGTGGCTGATGTTCTTGTGGCTCCGGTATCACTAAACTAAATCCTTAGTATAGTGGTTTGAGAAGCAGTTTTTCCACTGCTGTCATACACCAGATTGTTGTTATACCTAATTATCATCCCAGACCTATCCTTTTTTCCCCATCAGAATATGACACCCCAGATAAACACCAGATCCTTCTCCCTGTTCCAACCCCCATCAGATGTCCCAGGGGATACTCCGCTTCCTGCTCTGACTTGTGGCATCCAACACCACGATCCCACTTTGCCATAAATGTGATTTCACCCAAGTAGTCAAGAAAACGGTCCTGAGTGTCATTTAAGAAACTCTTTGAAAATCTGGATTAGAGGATCCGGATCAGAGATGCGTTTCAGCTTGACGACAATTACAAAATGAAAACGATTTGCCCTTTATTATTACTTATTATTATTGCCCTTTATTACTCTCGACTCAGAACTCAAGAACAGGATGATGAATCAAGTGTGCACCAAGTGAGAATTTATGTTCCCAATCAAGTGATTAATTTGGATTCCTTTCCAATGCCACCCCCTTTGGTGACACGTACAATGCCGCTATGACTAGGTCTCACCCTTGAAGCTGTGTCTTATCCATATTAACCCAGTTACAAGTGGGAGAAAAAAAAAGTTGGCTTGGGTGTCGCTGCACTTGCACTTCATATCCCCCTCCTCATTTTTTAACCCTCCCTAATTGGGAAACTACAACCAGATTGTTTTAATTGGATCCGGTGAAAACATGACAGCACCTCATCAGCCTTGAGAAAGCAGGTGTGTGTCACACAGAGTTTTACCTCAACAAACCCACAGGGAACCGACACCAGTTCAATAACTCCACTCGGATTTTCACCATACGGTGCAAGAAGGGAGCAAAGATATTAACTCTTAACGTACTCAAGGCAAATTATCTTAAAATTGCACCGAAAAGTGAGGAATGAGCCTGTTCCCAAGTAACTTTTCAGCTATTGATCCTTCTCTCTCTCTCTCCAGAAGTGCCCCAACTGGTCTGTGCTCCCAATGTTTCTGCCCAGCTGCAATCATCATCCTCAGCAGCTTTCTGCCAAACTTCACAAGTCACTGAAACCAAATTCATCAACGGAAGAACTAAAAAGTATCTTCATTCATGTGTTCGATTGTACAGCTACAGAGTAGCTTTGCAAAAGAAATCCTTTCACCCTCATTATTCTACCAGGTTCAATAGCACTTTATTAACAAATAAGAAAGAGCTTATTTCGTGAGTTTTAGAGCAGGAGATTACATATGTCATGGCACCCAACGCCAGCAACGTAGTCTCCATGCCCACAAGGCAGCCTTCCACCTTTGAAATGATGGAATAAAGCACTTTTCGCACCGCACTTTGGAAATAGGATTTAAAGATTTAAGAAACAAACAACCCCTTAGTGAGGTAATTTAACTAAAACCTTTTCCAGACATAAAAATATCACACGACTGAATTCCCCTTTGTATATAAGGGGAACTTTTTTGTAACCTGGATTAATGTTGTGCACAAAATCAACAGAATGTAACTCTATCAAACCTCATGGTCCTCTACTGTTCATCATCTCTACTGTTTCAAGCTCCAACAGGGTAGGTTTAGATTGAACATTAGGAAGGAATTTTTCACAGAGAGAGTGGTTGGGCATTGGAACAGGCTGCCCAGGGAGGTGGTGGAGTCACCATCCCTGGATGTGTTTAAGGGATGTTTAGATGGGGTACTGAGGGACATGGTGTAGGGGAGGACTTTGTAGAGTAGGGGAGATGGTTTGACTCATGGTCCCAAGGGGCTCTTCCAACCTAGACCATTCTATGATTCTATGATCATCTCCGAGGTGTGCTGAACAGAGCAGACAGGTCATGCTCCCCGTGCAAACTTCACAAATATGACCTGTGAGTTTCACGAGTGAGCCACAAAATCCTACAAATCCAGTCTTTCTGGAGCTGTACTGGTACGGTTCAGACCGGTCCTTCCAAACCAGTTGAACTCTGCCAACAGACCTTTATTTCTGCCTGCAAAAAAAAGGTCTGTCTCACTCTGTGACACTACAACCAACCGTCCTTCACGCCCTGTTAACTACCCGTTCTGTAAAACACGCAGATTTTCTCAAATTAAGAAAACACACCCAGATTGCATCTTCTGTTAAATATGAACCAAGATCTCCAGAGGTCTCCAGAATCACGCCGTAACCTCGTACGGCACCACTCGGGCCCTTTCCAGGACTAGGTTTACACTACTGACTTTTTTTTTTGACAGATCGTTTGTCTTCACACCTTGACCTGTAGCACAAGCTCTGTCCGACTGTTGGCTGCCTCCACAAAGGACTTTCCACCTTTTCTCCATCCCAAGGACTGTTACAGCCTCTCTTACGTACTACAGCTCGTGATTGTACAGCTGCAGGGTGAGTCAGTTTGGCAAGCTACAAGAACAGCTGTATGTCAAAAAAGATTTGATCTTTTTTTTTGTGTTTTATTTTATTCAAATTACTCAGCTCTCCATGTTAGCGTGGCAAACGCTTAGAACAAACACCTACCAAAATAATACATTTCCTGTATACTAAGCCAAGGCACATAAGATCAAATATAAATGGATATTTGACACAGAAATAATAATTAAAAAAAGAAAGTTGTGCAGTATAAGAAATCTATCACATCTAATTAATAAATCTAGTCCTTCGATAGACACATGTATCCATAAAGACACAGTCCCAGTGCAGTCCATGCCATCAGAGCATTGTCAAGTGAAAGTTCCCCTTAAGAAATATCAATCTTAAAATAGCAAACACAGGTATTTACTAACAGGTTAACTGGTTTGGTACCTAAGAATGATGCTTGACTGCCCTCTTCAGGCTAACCCACATGCATGGAACATATTTTATACAAAGAAGTAAAAAACCAAAGCCTTACTTCACAGTCAGTGATGAAATTATAATGAATAAACTTACTCTTTGAACACGTCCAGAAAAAACACATTCTGTTTGGCACAAATGGATGTTTTAAATAACCTCTGGTGCAAAGAAATCAAGATATATTCCACGCACAATCATCTTAGCACAGACCCCAGCTCTCAGGCAAGATTTTCTTGACGTCTGGCAGAAGGAAGTTAACCTTGACCTTCAAGAGAGGTCCCATGTAACCAGTCCCTAACTCAGCAGAACTAAGCACATATAGGCTAATCTAGCAGAAATGTATTTAGTAACAGTACCTAAGCTAAGTAAGTTTGTCTTAGTCTTATTACAATTTTCTTTGCCTTACAACCTCCTGTCCTCTTCCAAAAGTAAACTATTCTGCAAGTGAAAAGTAATCTCAGGATTCACGCCTTTTAAGTTCCTGGCAAATGTTTTCAAAACACACTTGTCAGAGAATAACTAAGAGCATTTGTCCAATTAGTAATACAATGCAGTCGTTAAGATAACACAAACTATTGTCATTTTTTTCATAGTTTTGCCAAGCAGAGCAGCTGTGTTAAAATGCCCTTTGAAGCATCTGACTTCTATCAGCAAGTTGGAGCTACAATAAATCTTGAACTTCTGATTTGCCTCAAATGGGACATTCTGTAAAGCGTTTGAGTTCAGTAACACCAGAGATACAGGTCTAACCTCAAGATTCTCCACCCTTCAGAGCAAACACTGCCAGACACACCCCTCACAAAATTAAGGATGGGGCTTAACTGCCAGATTTCAGAAGCAAACACTTGTCCTATACAAGTCAGGGACTTCTCTACCTCCTTTTTTTGGAGGCATGAAGTCATATTCCAGCTTTGCAAACATTAAGGAGCACATCCTTTGCTATCAGGTCAGGATTCTGAGCTTGTTGGCTTCTTGGATGGCATTTTAAGCCCAGATCTGTGCATTCAAAGATGACAAAACACATACCTATCTCGAGGAACGTCTAGGGCGGTGTTATAATCTGGTGGCCCTCCAGGCAGCATATTGAAGAGCAAGTGATTCATGCCCCGATCCCACCTAAGACAGAAGAAGAAACAGACAGCAATGAGAAAGGTGTTCTCTACATACACACAGGAAGCTCTGGCGTGGACTCGGTGCATCTTCCCCTCCAGCGTTAAACTTAGGGGTTTTTTTTCCACTTCACTGAATTTCACTGAATTTTAGAGTTGGAAGGGACCATAGAGATCATCTAGTCCAACTCCCCTGCTGAAGCAGGATTGCCCAGAGCTTGTCAGAGCATGTTACTCAGGAGCATCCAGGCGGGTCTTGAAAATCTCCAAGGAAGGGGACTCCACACCCTCCCTGGGCAGCCTGTTCCAGGGCTCTGTCACCCTCACCGTGAAGAAGTTTCTCCTCATATTTGAGTGGAACCTCTTCTGTTCCAACTTGTGCCCGTTGCCCCTCGTCCTCTCACTGGGAACCACTGAAAAGAGTCTGGCCCCCGCCTCCTTCAACCCTCCCTTTAGATCCTTGTAGGCATTGATAAGGTCTCCCCTCAGCCTTCTCTTCTCCAGACTAAAGAGTCCCAGCTCTCTCAGTCTCTCCTCATAAGGGAGATGCTCCAATCCTTGAATCATCTCTGTTGCCCTTCGCTGGACTCTTTCTAGTAGTTCCCTGTCCCTCTTGAACTGGGGAGCCCAGCACTGGACACAGGATTCCAGTTGTGGCCTCCCCAGTGCAGAGCAGAGGGGGAGAATGACTTCCCTTGACCTGCTGGCCACACTCTTCCCTATACAACCCAAGATACCATTGGCCTTCCTGGCCGCAAGAGCACACTGTTTACTCATTGTCATTTTACTGTCCACCAGGACCCCTAGATCTTTCTCTTCAGTAGTTGCCTCTAGCAGGTCCACCCCTAACCTGTACTGGTACCTGACATTCTTCTTCCCCAGGTGCAGGACCCTACACTTTTCCCTGTTGAACCTCACTTGGTGTTCTTTAAATTCACAGGCTGAAGTTTCAGCGAGTACCTGGATAACTGTGCCAAAGCCTGAGCTGTTTCCTTGATCCGGAGGGCGTTCTGATTGAGGACATCAATGGATGGCACGAAAAGGCAGGCCCGGTTGACATCGTCGGTGTAGAATTCACTGTCAGAGATGGCAGTCAGCAGCTCGTTGTACTCCCTGGAAATGGTGTTGCTCACCGCCGTCCCGTATTCATCCACGTATTTTTTCAGGGAGTAGATGTACACCTTGATTTTGTTTTTGGGATTGAAGCCGCAGCGATAGACGTCGAAGCAGGTGTGCATCCTGCAGCTGAGGTCTCCCCGCTCAGGAATGGGGCTGTCAGCAGGGAGCTTGACCACAGGCACGTCGTGGACGCTGCGTTTTTCAACCGTCCAGTCACTGGATGACTCAATGGAGTGAGGCCAGAACTGGAACATCCCCGTGGCGATGAGGCCGAGCAGAACTATGGAAAAGAGAGTGATGTAGTAGATGCGGTGCTTGGTTTTCATCCTGGGGATGAGGGCTGGACCCCGGGTGTTATATTTGGCCGACGCACACATAATGGAATCAATTATCTCCTGTCTCTGCAACAGAAAGAGAGAGTTTTAGGACCAACTCTGGAAGAGAGAGATAGTTAGCGCAACACGGAGAAAAAGCCAGCTAACCCTTTCCAGACAGGTTCTTTGTCTCAGCAGGTTACAGCAAAATTTTCTTTCTGAGGGGAGACCTTATCAGCGCCTACAAGTATCTCAAGGGAGGGTTGAAGGAGGAGGGAGCCAGACTCTTTTCAGTGGTTCCCAGTGAGAGGACGAGGGGCAACGGGCACAAGTTGGAACAGAAGAGGTTCCACTCAAATATGAGGAGAAACTTCTTCACGGTGAGGGTGACAGAGCCCTGGAAGAGGCTGCCCAGGGAGGGTGTGGAGTCCCCTTCCTTGGAGATTTTCAAGACCCCCCTGGATGCTCCTGAGTAACATGCTCTGACAAGCTCTAGGCAATCCTGCTTCAGCAGGGGAGTTGGACTAGATGATCTCTATGGTCCCTTCCAACTCTAACAATTCAGTGAAATTCAGTGAAATTCTTCAGATGCTCACATGTCCCACCAGAATATAAAGTGCCATCTGGGACTGCCACCTGAACCTGACCTGGTCATCCTGGTGGGAATGGAATGATGTTGGCCAGTTAAGAATCACAAATCAGAAAAGTCCACAGCTTGGGCAGCGAGGGGAGAGGGAAATCTCAAGCACTAGAGAAGCAGTGAGTCCTCTGAGGTGCTGCTCCATCTACATCTAAGTGTATTCCTAATGAATACTGATAAAAAAACAACACACTCATCTACAGGTGAAGAGAAACAACCTGGATGCCCCGTTATAAGTCCTTTGTGGGGTATCGCACAAAACTTCAGATCATGGTACCAGTTCTAATGCAAATGTGTTTTCAAATTGAATCTTATAGAAGCCCCACCATAACCGACTAGAATGTCCTAAACTACTTACATTTTTTTTCTGGCAAGAAAAAAAAAAAAAGAATTAATTCATCATTTTTGTCAATACGTCTTTTGGGGCAAAAAAAGCACTGCATGAGCAGCTAGTGCATCCACACTTAAGCAAAGCATTTTAATAGTAGTTCACTGTAGTCTGAATAGCACTTGGAGTGAAAAGCATGATGTAATACAGCATCAGAGTCACACAATTACTGTCATCTTTGATGTTTCTTACAAGCTTTTACACACACAGGATTCACAGAATGCTATGGGGTTGGAAGGGACCTCTGGAGATCATCCAGTCCAACCCCCTGCCACAGCAGGGCCACCCACAGCAGGTCCCACAGGAACGTGTCCAGGTGGGGTTGGAATGTCTCCAGAGAAGGAGACTCCACCACCTCCCTGGACAGCCTCTGCCAGGGCTCTGCCACCCTCACAGCAAAGAAGTTCCTCCTCATCTTTAGGTGGGACTTCTTATGTTCAAGTTTGTGCCCGTTCCCTCTTGTCCTGTCCCTGGGCACCACTGAAAAAAGACCTCTCGACACCCACCCTTGAAGTATTTATAGGTGTTGACCAGATCCCCCCTCAGCCTTCTCTTCTCCAGACTAAACAGACCAAAGTCCCTCAGCCTTTCCTCATCAGAGAGGTGCTCCAATCCCTCCATCACCTTCATAGTCCTCTGCTGTGCCCTCTCCAGCAGTTCCCTGTCCTTCTGGAACTGGGGAGCCCAGAACTGGACCCAGTGCTCCAGGTGGAGTCTCCCCAGAGAGGTTCCAGCAAGAAGTAATTTATATTAACTATATATCAAAGAATCAGCTACCTCCTGCATACAAAAATCTGTTTAGGTTTTCAACTAAGCTCCAAAATAAATAATTCCACCTGAACTCCCCACAGTAGGAGCTTTCAAAGGTTTTCCCTGAAGAAGAATGCAGATGGTACAATTATGTGTTTTCCTTTTGGACATATGGAATATTTTCTTGCTTTGAAAGCAAGTCTGACAGTCAACTGTACAGCAGACTTCAAATGAATACAGTACCATTAAGGCATTAAATGCTCATTATAACAAACTGGGTTATGTTTAATTGGCAGTTCTTAACAGAAGACTGTTAGGATGGGGTGGCAAATGCACGAAGTGACTGCACATACACACAGCAGCATAAAAAACAATCCAGAATGTTAATAAATATTCCACTTTTAACAGCTGTTCTCATCAGCTTGTGTTAGCATTATGATTCTGGAGACATCTTTTAAAGCCTACTTTACAAGACAATACATGTGTGATGCTGTTATTAGGACAGATGCCAGAATGCCACATTACTGTCAGTTTTATAACTAAAAACTTTCCATACGGCTCTGATGGTTAACCATGTTATTCCTCCCTCCTAACACAGCACCAGAACCGCTTGCCTTATGACAAAGATTACACATTTGCAGCAAGCATTTGAGTCACTCATGAAAGCTGTCTCAACCTATGCCTGGGGGGGTGGAAAAACCTCCATGAAATGTATCTCTCCATCAATGGAACCGTTTAATCACTTTGGCCCTGCACACAACCCACTTGGGCATCCTGCCGGCACAAGACAAGGTCTACCAGCATTTGGAGTATTGGAAGTAACAGGAATAAGACAAAGAGGTGACAAAAAATGTTAAGGGAGTAAAAAAATCATAGAATCACCTAGTTTGGAAGGGAACCTTAAGATCTGACAAAATCATCAGTAACCCACGTCCCTCAGCACCACATCTACCCGGCTTTTAAATATCTGCAGGGATGGTGACTCCACCGCTCCCCTGGGCAGCCTGTTCCCATGCTCGATAACCCTTTCTGTGAAGACATTTTTCCTAATATCCATCCTAAACCTCCCCTGGAGCAACTTGAGGCCATTTCCTCTTGTCCCATCGCCTGTTCCTTGGGAGAAGAGACCGACCCCCCCTGGCTACACCCTCCTTTCAGGGAGTTGCAGAGAGCCA